AAAAAAAAAAAAACAACCTCAGACCCAATAAAACAATTTCAATTTTTAATTTGTAGAGTGGGGAAACCCCTCAAAACAAATGTATTTAAAAGGTAACACTTAACCATCCTTGTGTACAGTTAATTACAGTTTGGTGAGAAAATACAAAGAACAAGATTAACTGTGCGGAGTCAGAGATTTATTTTAATGGAAGAACCAAAAAACAAACTAGTTCAGCATTACTGAAATCAAATTTAAGATATCAAGTCACATTACATGGCTCAATAAAACAATTTAAGCATGAAAAATAAAACTAAACTGCTTAAAGCCAGCCTTTTATATAATATAATTATTTCCATAGAAAAACAAACAAAAACACTTGGGTTTTACTGCAATCTGAGTTTGTGTCTAAAACAAACTCTTAGATTAGATTTAGCTCCTGCTGGACCACCCATAGTAATTAAGGAAAGTTTCTAGTAGTGACGTCAGTAGACAGTAGAAACATGCCAAGAGATTCTTAATTTTACAGTGCAGCAATTTACTTTTAAATAGTAGCCCCAGATCAAACATTACTAAGCTCTTTATATAATCTGCTCACGCAATTCTGATTATAAGGTTACGAATTTCTAATGTATGCACTTGCACATCCTTAAAGTCATACTGCAGATGGATTTCACCTCTAAACCCTATGAGTCCAGAGAGCCAGGTGATCTCTGCATGGTGAGGTGACCTATGCTCTAAAGCTTGGGTGACACACCCTAGTCTGTGCTGACTCCCTTGTGCCACTGCAGAGCCATAGAAATGATGTCACCTACTGTGGAAATAGTCCCTCTGCTGCAGGCCTATTTAAAGCATCATGGCTCGTATAATACAAGGAGTCCCTCACTGCCCACAGCTATTCTGAATGGCTTGACACGAGCTACTAAATCTAAGAACCGTATATACTGTAATGAGTCAGTGAGTGCTGGCTGCAAGAGTCAGGACCACTGAGGCATTAAAGTAGACTGCAAATTGTACATGACAGACTTTATAGCCAAACAATTAATGTATTTAAAGCTTCTAAATATAAACATTTTACTTCTGATTCATAGCAAACAGATTTTGTTTTTATAAACTCTAATTATAACCACTATGAACCCTTAAACTCACACAGCCCATGAGATGGCACTTCAACCTTGCTGTTATTGCATACTTTGAATAACATGACTCATTTAAGAGGTCCACATTGATGCAAGTGTCTTCTGGGCCAGTCCAGACCTGCAGTGGCTGCACATCCAAATATGCAAGCGTACATATCACAGTAATTGTCCCTGTGCTACGTGAAATATACCACGCTTGTACCCATGCTGTCACCTGACACAAAGCTGGGCTGTGACACACACTCCAAGCTTAGTGATCAAAGTCTGGTTTATGTGACAATGATCTGTGTGTGTGTGTGTGTGTGTACATGTAATAAGAAAAATCACAAGATCGTGCCAGCACCTTGCCCTACTGAACACACCCTCAAATCCACCCTGAAGCCTAGTGTACAATAAGCTGACTTTGACACTACTGTCAATAGGTTTCTGTGAGCTACCAGCTTATATCACGCAACACTACCATTACATTATGAAAATATCCACCTCTCGTTGTTTAGTAACTTACATTCAATTGAGCCAGGATGTTTCTGTGCACATAATTTCATCACATGCGAATGTATATTAGCTCGCAGTTAAATGTATTCATGGACAAGACTTCCCAAAGGCAATAGGAACAGGATGTAAAGCAGGAAGGACATGGACTGATGACCAGGTGTTTCAACAGAAACTGCATAAACAAGTTTGGAAAAGAACAAACCGATCACACAGATAAGATAACCCAACAGTTCAGAGCCATTTGCATTTCACTTATTCTAGTACTATAGCATTCCAAAGAGGGCATGAAGACATTGTCCATATGTCTGTAGTATCAAGTTGGAAAACAATACACAGTAAATTAGTAATTGTAGCACACATTTCCCATAATGCTTCTCTTTAAAATGGTAATCTCATATTAAACATAGCCAAAGTTAAACAACAGGATACTTGCAAGTAATCCCTGTGAGCCAAAAAACTGCTCTAAACTAGTTTTAGCATAGCTCTGGTAGCAGTTTGAACAGCAACATCAAGCTACTTCATGTTCTGTTAGTGAGGGGTAGACAATGGGAAGAAAGCGGACTTAAAGGCAGGTGGCCTTACAGGAAGAACAGCCATAAGGGCTTGTTTCAGTGAAAGAATGAACTGAGAGGCTGCATCAAGGCCCAATAAGAGATAAACAATGATTATCTGCACAGGGAATCATGCAAGGCTACTAGAGTAGAGTCCAAACACAAATATGTAGAGCTAAAAAATGAACAAAACTGTTTCAGACCTTCTGGTTTCCCTGTCCTAAGCTTCTGAAGTTAATAATAAATGTTGGTCTGATTATTCAAGACCTTGTATGTGATGAGAACGATTTTAAATTTCATTCTGGATTTAACAGGGAACAAATGAAGAGAAGCCAGTATAAGAGAAATATGTTCTCTCCTTCTAGTCCCTGTCAGTATTCTTGCTGCAGCATTTTGAATCAATTGAGCCCTTTTAAAGGATTTTTCTTACAACATCCTGATAGTAACTTTACTACAAAGTTCTTTGCATATTATGACTCCTGTGTTCTGCTAAGCAAAAAGGATCAATCCATAAACATGTCGGTCCCTTTAGTCTCAGTTGCCCTTTCGCCTCCCGCCTGTGCTAACCGTTTTACAGCCTACGAGTCTCGTCTGATCCTCGTCTTAGTGTGTTTTATGAAGAAACAGATACACACAGACCGAGCACCCCTCTGTGTTTAAGTAGGGCTTAATTTGTACAACACACACTTGAGCATAATATGACCCCCTATGCTCTATGAGAGAATTTTGCCTATTTTTATTTATTTATTTATTTTAATAAATAGCACCTACTCCGCTCAACTCCACTCTACTCAGTTTTTAGTGTTTTCCATTATGTGGTAGTACCTTTTAACATGTGCGTGTTAGTATCTACAGAACTGGGCTTTCAAGCAAGCTGAGTCGAGCTGAAAATATAATGTCAGACTGCAGGCCACTGATTGGCCAAGGAGTGATGTCACTGGATGAATCACGAGAGTGACTCCTTCACAAGAATCAAACAAACACAAAAAGCTATAGGTGCAGATACACATCGCGTCAATGTCATCCATTGTTGTGGTGTGACATGTTACAGTAAGAAATAGTTCTCAGATGGAACCAGAAGCATGAATACCAAACTCCAAAAGAGAACCACCAGTGGATGAAACTGATGTTTATATCTCATCATTTTTCTACTGACAGGATAAGTTAAATCCATACTTTATGCTCGAATCTACTGTGATATTTGAAGTCCCGATAACACTTCGACTAAACTCCCAAAAACCCAGGCATGGCAGAAGAGGCTGACAGTTCGACCAGAGAGCCAGGCGTTCTTCACATTCCACACCTTAGCCTCAAGCAGCTCTGTTATGAGTATGACTAATAAGAGCAAGTGGGCCGCTAGGGTGTCAAATGTAACACCCTTTGAGGTGTTAATGGTGTTTGTGTCTGATATACACAATTAGGAATTTCAGGGTCTGCAGAGCGAGCATAAGCGGCTTGCCTCAAGTCTGCAGAAAGTTATGATGGCATGATACACAAGTTCAGGAACGCAGCTGGCATGAAGCAGGGCATCAGTAATTGTGAGCATGGGAAATTAACAAGCACCAGTGGGATTGCCTGTGTATAGCAGTACACCAATTGTGTGCATCTTAAAAGTCTCATATTGTGAAAATGCATTGTTTTGTGTTTTTTTCCCCCACCTGGAAGCATAAAACAAAAGCTGTGAACATTTTTAATACGTTACTACTTTCATTCCTCCACTACATCTATATGCTCATCCACCTTTAAAAGCCATTTTCAACTTTCCACATTAAACTGCAGCTACTTGCAAATCTTCTGTTATTGGTTGCAAGAGTGAATAGAGATTCCTTAAGACTCAATACAACTATCCATCCACCAATCCTTTCTACTGTGTATACAATTCAGGGTCAGAATACTCTGGGGGTCACTTTGCAAGAGGCAAGGCACACTGTGGACAGGACGCCAGTCTAATCACAGGGCTAACACACATTCATGCTCACATTAACACCTACAGCCAACATAGAATCAAAAACATACTATTCAACTCTTTGGATGGTGGGAGGAAGCAGAAGTAACCTCAGAGCTCACACAGTCACACGGAGAACATACAGACTCAACAAAGAAACCCCCCAGATGGTCAGCAGGTTTTTACCGGGAGCACTTCTGCCATGAAGCAAGAGCATTAACCACTTTATCATCCCATGGCCTGCTTATTGGTTATTGCAACTGATTCAAATGCTCAATCAAGTGTGAACTCTGAAAGCTTGAAAAAAAAAAAAATTAAAAATTAAAAAAAAAAAAAAAAAAAATCAATAGACTGGACATTTTCTCCACCTACACCATCTACTTCTAAAAATTCTTTTTACAGCCGATTTCCTCATTCCGCTCTGCTTCGAGTCCCTGAAACTGCCTGCTTTCTATAGTTTGTGGCTAGCCTTCTGGCTCAGTACTGCATATATGAATGACAACTTTTATACTGGTTAAGCAGATCATTTATTTTACACTATTTGCCTCATGAGAGACAGCAGTGAATTAGAAATTGTGCATTTGAGGTTTTAGAGAACTCTCTGCACTTAATTGCTGTTTTTACAGTAGACAAGGCATGCTTTAAAAAAAAATTATATCTGCTAACTAGCAGTGCTCTGGCCCTTTCCTTCTGTCATACAGCAGGAAACCAACTCATTTCACGTGGCAGTTTTAAATACTACCCAATACCATATCTCAGCAACAACATAAAGCCTCTGGTTCATTTTGGGTTTGGGTATAGGTCAACAGATTATTCAAATTGCGACGTACATTGCCAGTAATCCCCAGCACCTTTGATCAGTAAATAAACCAACCTTTAGGCCCTGTGTATTCAGGCAGGTATAAGACCATAACACCTCAGCAGAGGAGTGTACAGTGATAAGGCAACTTGTCCACACCTCGGCAAAAAAAAAAAAAAAAAAAAGTCAGCATTTTGTGAGGAACAAGAAACTGCACCAGTATAAACCACGCCTACACGAGCAGCAAGCGACTGTGCTCACTGCTGAATACCTAACATGTCCATAACTACACTACAGACATTTGAATCCTTTGATAGGAATGTCTGAGGCCTAGAAAACAACTGGTTGCATAGCAACAAGTAAGGCTGCAGAAAATAAGGGTGAATCACACCCGATGGATACAAAGCACAACACTGAAACATGCACAAAAAAAAGAAGAAGAATAAAAATGCATGAACGAGATTCCCTGAAGGCAAAAGAGGACATTCTTCTCATTCACACAAGGCCTGCACACCACACTTCCTCTCCTTGCAACTCAACATGTGATTCACACATGCACACCACTAACAGGGTCTTGCATGCATGCCGTCCAGTTCTAAGAGCTTCATGGAAATTTCCACTTTTGCAAGTCTCAGCCTATAAAGCTGAGGCGAGGGGCTAAGGTAGAGATAAACAGCTGAGAGGTAAGTAGCAACGGCGGCTCTGTTACACACAGAACATTATCCCAAGATTTACAACCTCCGAATGATAGGCCAGGAACAATGCAAAGCTGGCTGTAAACCAGAGCCGTATTTCGCTGAACAGATTAAGCAAGCATACCTGTAGATAGTGTAGAGTTTATTATTAGATATTTTTGCAGCCAGCATCTTTGCAGCATCTTTGGTGACAGAGATTACTCAAATGAAAAATCAAAGCTTCCATTATTTTCTAGTACATCTAAACAGATATTTTACACCCCCTGAGGGATGGACTCTCCTTACGTCTATTATGAGCAGAGTACATGCTGTGACAGAGTTCTGCACTTTTGGCTGAAAGCTGCTAAAACATATTTGGAATATATATATGTTAAGTTGGTAATGCATTCAGATGTAGATAGATGAGAAATGGCTGCAAACTAAATAAATAGCTAAAAAAAGATTTCTTTCTAAAATTTTCTTTAAAGATTTGCTACTTAAAGGAAAAAAGAAGAAGCCGAGAGTGATACTGATTATCACATTAAAATATTTAAATATGGCACTTGGATACAGTGAGTGACTCATTGACAGAAACAACATCTGACTCCAACCCAGTTCTCTCATCTTGGCCGCTCTTCATATTTCGGCCTATCCCAGAATTCACATGTGTACTTACACTGCACGAAGCAGCCAATGGCAGGGCAGGGAGGAAATGGTCTTGGAAGCCTGTCAGGCAGGGAGCAGTGAATGACCATATATGGTAAAATCTGCAGTCAGCAGGACTGAGAGGCAGAAGCGGCAAAGGCAGAAGCAAAATGACCAAAGTGTGGGGAAAGACCCTGGATATCATGCACACCCAGTGCATTTTTGCATAAAGACACAGGAAGCAGCTACAAAGGCAGTAAAACCTAGTGAATATTAGACAGAGGAGAAATAACGTGTCACTGTAGAAATGCCCAAGGATTACTAACAGGCACAGGCTCAGCAGAGTGAATGAATGGTACCATTGATTTAAAACCCACACTCCAAATTTGATTTCTGTAAAATGCTTATAACATAAAGGTGTTGCTCGGTAAAAGTGTTTATTGAGCAGGATTTTTTTTATAACACTCCCATCATAGGATGAACAAATCAGATTTCGATTTAAAGAACTATAAATTAAAATCCACAGTAACAAATCACTCATCCTTCGCTCTTCGTTCGTGTTGACCAGAAAGGAGCCATCAGGATTTTTTCTTCCAATTACGAGCTAGCTGCTGTATTCACTTCTACAACTTCCTTCATATGGAAATCAGGGAATAAATTAGCAGGCATCCAGCTAAGAATGAGAAAGGGACAGATTGAAAGCATGAGGGAAGGGAATGACATGTGCAAAGCTAGACATCTGATCCCCTCTCTATAAATCTCATTTTTCTCTCAGGAAGAGGCAACAATACTCGTGGTTGTGCTGAGTCAGGGCGGCCTGCCGCACTAACCCACAACCTAGTGAGTCACAAAAAAGAGCCACCCCCACGAGGTCAGGTCACAGATCTGAATTTTAGGTGATGCTTTTTATATACCCAAAAAAGCAATTTGAGGACAAAAGAAATATTGCCCCCCCTGTCTGTGGGCTTGCATGACAGTAACAAAGACAGTGCATAGTTACTTGTAGCTTAATTACCAAGGGGGGGAGATTGCATCATCACACTTCTGCTGCACCCCCCCTCCCCCTCCCCATAAGTGGAGTAATGACAAAGGGCTGTACTGGGAGTAAGCATTGGGACAAAGGCCCAGAGCAGCTGGCTTCCCGTAGAGACTAGGAGCCACACAGCACAGGCAGATGGGTTAGCCGCACAGATGCACCCTCAAATTAGAAATCCATGGGGAGGCAGGTTGAGGACACTGAGGGGATGTGCACCCTTGCAAAAAAGTGGAATGAGACCCAAAAAACTGTAACTCAAGAGTTTTATCCACAAAGCAGAGCTGCATAAATGAGAACACAGAAAAACAGGCTCATTTACACAAAACTTAGTGTAATCCATTTATAACTGAGAAATAGCTTTTTCCATGTAGTCTTTTAGCAATGGCGTTAAGTGCAGAGATCAACTCTTTAATACCAATCCACTGCTCTGCAGTCTAGTCATACAATTTGCAAGAACAGACTTGTCCCACTTTTGAGACCTGCATTGCCAGCTGAGGCTATACTGAGATTTCCAGATGGACCTGCTTTGTCAGAAAAAAAAAAAATCATTTGAGAATAGTAAGGTCATAAAGACTTGAAATAGAAGTTAAAAGGAAAAAAAAAATAATAATTTAAGCTTAAATCTTTATGTTAGTTGTAGGTTCTAATAACTGTCTTTTCCCATTATGGTTATCTGTAAAACAGGTTTGGTGGCACAAATACATGTCAAAGTATCTTTAACATGCATACATACAAATCTTAACTAACATAATTCCCCTTTCAGCGCCAGGCCCTCAAAGCATGGGCTGCTCTATGAAGAAAAGACTCACATTTGAAGGACTAGTTTGTCAGGGTTACAAGAAAATACGTGGGAAGATCTGAAAGTCTCAATTGAGGAAACTGCCTAGAGGTTTTCGCTGTACAGAAAGACCTCACTGAAAACTTTTTTGTTTTTTAAAAAAAATTCAGCAGTGAAAGTAGACTTTGTTCTGGAGACACACCATTACTGTACTGCAGCATGGCATGCAAAGGGAAGCTCAGTAGTACACAGACACAGAAAGAGGAGGACCCAGGAGGAGCGTGAACCGGTTCGAGCTCGCAGCCCACCTCCAGTACAAGCTTTGCATTGAATGAGGTGCTGAGAGGTGTTAAGCTGTGTGATGACAGGCCTAAGGATGCGGTCTCCAGTGCCAGGGCTAGCTCATATGACATGGCAGTGTAGTGGTGTACACTAATTACAGGTCCAGGGTAGATCTGTCAACAGCATTGCAGTGCTTATGTCACTCTATGTCAGGACCTGCTACTTGGCCACTGCCTGACGCTGACAAACAAACACAAGCAAGCAGCAATTCACCACTATCAAACATAACAGCAGCCAAGAGGTTTGTGGGACATGCCAGGACATTGGACCTCTATTGCGCCTTAACTGACCTAATTATGACACAAGGTAAAAACAAAAGGGAGGCATGTACCCTGCTAATTTGTTTACATCCAAAAACTCATCAACATGGAGGCAAGGATCAGGAGACCGTGTAGCTTGCATTGTACTTGCGTGGCTTGTGTGAAACAGCCCACTGTTAAAAATTAATCCAAAGGTTTATACATACATACTTTACATTCATATTACTCAAAATATAATCAGGGAGCACTGAAATCATGTAGTATGATAAAGAATACGATTTTTAAAAAGTGGATGCAACCATGCTTTCACATTCAGTTCACTCCATTTGCACACCCCAGCCCAGTCCAACGGGCGCACAACACATAATAAACTCACCTTGTGCAGAGGGAGGACGAGGAATGCTCCGCCACCGCTGGCCTCAATAATTAGGGCGACAAACTTGGGGTTCACTGCACAAAAGGCGCTGTCCCACGTGACCCTCGAGACCCGGATATCATCGTAGCACTGGTCATTCTTCACCGCCTGGCCGAAGACATGACGGAATTTGCTCTGCCGTACAACTCGTCTCATATCTGCAGAAAAAAAAGGCAGAGAGCACATTTATTTAAAGACACACTGTTGCCGTTGTGATGTTGAACCTATTCATTTCAGCAGAGGTTTGCACAAGCCGCAACTGCAATATGCACCAACACAAATGTAGAGTATGTGAACTAGTGAAAGCCTCGAGAGGGTGAGACACCCAAC